TACACAATGCTAAGAAAAAAAATAATCAAGTTTACTTTACAAAAAAACCTGCAGTCATTCCCCCCCGCCCCAAGAGATCTGATCTCACTTATAAATGCAAGTCAGCAGGTAAGAAAGTAAACGTTAACACTTCAGTTGCAGTACATCATCTGAACCTAATCATCCAAAAAGAGTTAATTCTTAAAACTGTTGATTGTATCGACACAAACAATCATAAATGATATAAATATCACTTGATTAAAAAAAGAAAAATCCCTGGGAAAATTTAAAGATAAATGGAAAAATGTCAAAATAATATAGCCCAGCTATAAACTCTTGCAGAAACTGAGATCTTTCTGGACTTGCTCTTCTCTGGAAGTTAACTGTAATTCCTCTGTTCGTTTAAGAAACGTCCTGGTGTAAAGCTGCTGAATTCTATTCAGTGAGGGGACTAAAAACTGTTACAACATGAATCTATGTAGTTACCATCGAGCTACGCTAGTACCATGTCCTACTCTCTCCATGGAAGTGTATTGTGCAAGTCTCAAGTAACATCAAAACACTCCTGAAACAGTCCTTGTGTCACTCATATGAGGTAGGTACTGTCCTTCCTTTGAAGAAGGAAAGAGAACAGAATCTTAACTGCTGCTGCTCAGTACATCAGGCACACTGAAAAACAGGACAACCAGCCTATGTTTCCTGCTGCTTCCCTGAATTCAGAGCTTTCAACTGCAACACTTGGTTTAGCACCACGCATTCCAAGAATAAAGAGTGAAAGAGGCTTTTAATTATATCCATTCCAAGGTAATAAAGGTGTCCAGCATAACTGCCTGAAACAAGCAGAAGCACTGCCATCAAGTCTGCTCCATTCATCTCCATGGCCTACAATTTAATTATTTTCTACATGAAGAATAAAGATGATACTTCATCCTTTAGTCTGACAGCAGCCACTCTTCTTTCTCAGATTAAATGATACAGGAGAAAAAATGAAATGCTGTCACAAATTAGACAGCATATAGAGGGCTACATGTATCAAATGTGGTTCAAGTGTCGCTAAATTAATGCTTTGCTACCACGGTAGACATGAACTCTAATTCAGCTTCTTACCCCAAATATAGTCTCATTAAGTCTCTACAGTTTTTTGAATCGGCTAAGGAGCTGTGAGAAAGGAATGAACAGTGGTCCTTCACACTAAAGCCACAGTTTATTTGTGGTCTAAAACTTGTTTCAGCATCTCTTACTAATAAGGAAGAAGCCTTAGCCCACATCTTCTTTCATAGTCATTGTTCCTCTTCTCATAACCTAACATGAGCAGTTGTGTGGTACTGTAGTAAGCTTGCTGAAAACTAGGCTGGTAAGAACACTGGATTATACAAATGCTTGTGCTGCCACAGGGAAAGGGGTGGCATAGAGGCAGGCAGAACTACTCCTTTTCCATTTTAAAGTCAATGAAACTGTACCCTACTCAGCTGATAATGATATCTAGTAACGTACCTCTGACACTAAGCTATCAGTAGGTGTTTAAAAATTGAGTAGAAAATTCAAGTACCAAAATAAAAGTTGTTAACCAACAGCATAAAGCAACAACTATGTTCTCCCATTTGAAGAAATCTGAGTGTAGCAGAATGGCTTATTTACTAGAAATAATGTAAGAGATGCCAAAGTTCAAATACCACTGTACATGACAATGTTATTGCTAAACTTCAGCTACAGCAAACTAACAAGAAACAGAATTCAAAAGTGTTACTTCATTTACCACCAGCAGTAGTGGACTGCTGGTCACTGGTCCCATGAACTGCACTGGCTGAGAAAGTTATTATGAACCCTCCACAGTGAATGCCAAGTAGCCTGATCAGAAAGACAGTACAACTGGCCTTTCCTATTGCTAGTTCCTATGCAAGTTGTCTCTTCTCTTTCTTTCATGCTTGGAATTTAAGCATTTGGATGTTAACCACTAAGTACAGAGAAGAAAGCCAAAACCTCCAAATACTTATTTCTTGCTTGTACAGTGCTTCAGTCCTTCAGCTTCTCTTACGTCCTGGCCAGTGTAAGATACCTGAAGGCCTAACTTGCTCCAAAACTCTATCGGTAAGAGCTAAACTATTCATCTGAAGAAATAAAACTAAGATATTACAAATTAGTACCCTCTGTTCTGATCCTTTGTCTTTTTTTCCTGGAGTACCACTGTATCTAGAGTGGCTCTTATCATCACCCTCTCTAAACAGTACTTTTCCTCCCTTGGCAAGAATTACACTATACAGTTTAAGATCGCCTATTACAAGAAGATTAAAAAAAAATAAATCTTGATTTCAGGCTAGAGACATAATCCAAGAGAGGGAACTTAGTTCAGGCGCTGCAATAGCTATAGGGCTTTCGTATACAAAGCATTTAATACAAAACACTTTGTGGAATCAATGCAAACTGAAATATAAACCCATAAACCTACCACAGGACCAGCAAGATTACATCACGAATGGCAAACAAAGTTGTTCCACACAATTTGAGTGGAGATACCTCTTATTAAGGTAGCATGCAACTGTTTGCTAAGCAATCTGTATGACAATTCAACAATCTTAACTATTAAAAATACTCTGCCTGTTATACTATCAGGAAGCTGAAGCATCTTTGCGGTTGCTTTTCCTATTCTTAATCTGTTCCATAGCAAGATGAGTAAAGAACATTTTCACAGTTCATTTTGGGAAAGTATATAGTAAAACTGTGCCAGTACAGGTAGTTTCAGAGCTTAGATGCATCAACATGTTATGACATGATTTGGAAGTACTGCTCAGCATCCACTGGCTCAGAAGCTCAGTCCCTGCAGAGCAAGTATAGATCTGAAAGAGCTCTTTCACACGTGGGGATCAGGAAGGGGAGAAAAAGAAAAAAACACAAGTATCAGATCAATGCCTCTTCCTGAGCTCAACAACCTTCCAGACAACCCTCACAGCCAGGAAGAGATGCAGCTGAGAATGCAGCAATTCAGGCCTTGTAAAAGTGCCTGAATGGCAGCAAACTGACAGCTCTGCATTATCTACTTTTTACTGACAGTTAAGTAAGTTCCTGAATGCAATGGATGTGGATCAGCACCCGGTAATCACAGAAGCTGTGCCTGCCACAAAAGAAAATCCCATTTTGACTGCATATAGCTTTTCTGCTTTAGTACTGAACTAACAGGTAGTTAATGGGTATGCATCTGTGTTAATAGCAGGAAAGACAAGGTGGTAAAAAAAAAAAACAACCAAAACCAAAACCTCTGACCAATGTCCTGACCAGCGGAAAAAAGTCTGAGATTCAAAAACTGCAAAGGGTAGATTAAATAGTTTGCATTTTAAAAGATTATTTGAAGCCAACAGTTTTTCAAATTCAGTTTCAAGTCTGTACAGAAAATGTAAAGTCCTTACCCCATGTAAAGCTCTAAGTAAAGTCCACATTTTGATATATATGACATTCATATTTTTGTGAGAGAACCAAGAACTTACTGAAAAGTTGTTCTGGCTTCTTCAGTAATTTCTTGAGTAAACATTGCAGAGCTACCACTAGAAGGGGAATACCTAAGATGCTGGCACAACTCAATAACTAACCATTAAGAAGTCTGGTATAAAAAAATTTATGTAGTAATACCAATTCAGCACACAAATTCCATGCTTCACAAGTTCTGCTGCTGTGTAAGAGTATTCCTAATATCTATGCAGGTAAATTCAGATTTTTAGGTCACTGCATGCCCAGATCAAGCCAGCAGCAAAATTATCTACCGCTACAAGCAGTTACACCCAATTGTGCCTTTAGAATGCGAACTATGCAGAAATCTAGATGATCAGTGCCTCAACACTGGAGCAGGAGCACACACACAAACTTCAGTGTGTGCATACTGTAGAGAATAAGTTACTTACTGAAAAAAATGCATACAGATTTTGATACAGACATGATACAATCAAGACTGATTAAGTCACTAGACATTCAGATTTGGGGGAGGAGAAAAATCCTTCGAAGACAGTATACGGGTGACAAGTCAGCGTTACAAAGAACTCTAAAGGCACATTTCAGGTAACATGGTTCCGTTAAGACCAACTGCTTACACACGCAGGCACAAATCTTAATGACTGTCTCCCACCTTCCCACCCCCCTGACAATCAAAAAAAAAAAAAAACAAAAACAAAAACAAAAACCAAAACCCAAAAAAACCCCACACCCCTACCCCCAAAAAAACAAACCCCAAAAAACAGAGAAGTGCATTTTCAGTAATATTAACACCATTCAGTTAATCTGTTCAGTCCAAATGTTTAGCAGTATTTTCCTTATGGTGATATGGATTCTCTGCACTACTCCAATCCAAAACACCCAAACAGGCAGGATTAGTAAAGGTTCAACTGGTGTTCTAGTTAACATTTACTCATCAGAGCCCACTGATCTCTTCTGTGCCCTCTTGTAGGGCAACCTCCTTGGTGAAGCTTTATCTAGAGAAAAAAAATAAAAAAAAAATGATAGTTCTATCAGCTGCTACAGCTACTTCAGATTAGATGTTATATGATCATGTATTTTTCTGCTTCCCAAACACAAGCCAAGCTGTCCATCTAGTGCAATGCACCACTACACAGAAACCACTTCAAACGCTTGTTACAGCTTTTTAACTACTAAACCATTAGCATACTAAATAGAAGGTAACAAAAAAATAATGTTCCTATTCCGTAACATGCAACTCCAGGGCAAAGGTTGTTTAACTTGGCAGTTACTAAAACACAAAAAAACCCAAAACCAACAACAACAAAAAAACAACACACAAAAAACCCACCAAAAAACCCAAAATTCCAACACAAAACACCCCCCCAACAACTTCCCCACCATCTCCTGATGAACCACATGCTCTGCTGTTTAGAAAGGTCTCACATTCAACAATTACACTTTAAGAAGGTTCATGAATTAATTTGATCAATACTGGTTTGGTTTACCTGCCTGAAGAATGTGACCTACCCTCCTTTAGACATCTTTGTTTTTAATGAAGGATTGCCATGTTCGTACAAATTAGCCTCAAAGGATTGTGAAAGAACCACACTTCAAGGAAGCACCCACATTTGACTGTGAAGATGTCACTTTGTGATCAGACATCCCATAGAGGGAAGCCACCCAGCTTTAGCTGTATGATCGCTGGATGCCAGAAACATCATCCTACATTTAAGACTTTATGACAGGCCTACAGTTGACCTTTACGATGATGGTCCTTATATAGATAGAAACTTCAGTCTTTGTAATATTGTAGAGAAGCTACAATGCTTTGTATGACGTGCTAAAGTGATTGCTAAGTGTATCTGTCCACTTAAAAATGCACATTTTCTTAAACAGAACCATCTCCAGTAATTTCACTGTTTGGAGTATGTGCAAAGCCAAGGAGCAGCCATCATGTCACTACAAGCCAATCAGTACAGCACGAAGAGTCTTTCAACAGTAAAATAGCTAAGAACCTCTGAGGACCTTGAAGGCCATGTATTTCAAAGGATTCTAGTGTAGAGTTCAAATTAAAACTAACCTGGAGCTAGAAAACCCTCACAGACTTTAACCAACTTCAGTTATTACTAAGATCTGAGTATCTATTCATCTTGAAGAAAGGGATGGAGAGAGTACCAAAACACACCAGGATTTGAGCCCATTTAAAGGTAGTTTGCTCTTCGGACAAAAAAATAGCATTTAGAGCTTCAGTCTTCTTTGCTAGATTGCGGCTTTTCAGATTCCTGTGTCTACATTTTATACTGTCATTCTTGTGTCTCACAGAAGACAGTGTGCAAGAAAGCTTACATTTTCAGAAGTAAAACACCAGTCCTTAGGTATAAGGACAGTTAAGAAGGGTAAAGGAATAAAAAAGTCATCAAATCCTGGCACAACTTCCTATCACAGCTAAGGTCTCTAGCCCTTCTACATTGAATAAAGCTCAAAATATGCTCATTTTATCAAAATGGGGGTCTTTTTCAAGTAAAGGTAGTTCCTTCAAAGAGTTTTCAAAGCACTTCTCTTTGTCTAGGATGCACTTTGTTTTAACTGAGGCTATCTAGCCAATGCTACTGGTGATAGGAGTTCAGCTGGGATAAGGAACACCAAGAAGATAAACCTCACTGTTAAACTATTATACCCATGGCTCAGGTTTGTTTCTCACCAAGACAAGATGTGCTCAGCCATTGGTCATGATCAGTAGTACTCCACCTCCCTCATGCAACGTCAGCCTGACAGTACACTAAGGTAGCAGGCAAGGCAAGATACACATCTGCATTTTAGATAAAAAGGGTTCTGGGAACTGTTAAGAGGAGACAATAGTACTTCAGCAATACTCTATGTAACTATGCTACTACAATATAACCAGAAATAATATATACACATTTTAAATATGGAAATGTAATTTATATGTGTATAAAATGTGTTTGTGTGGTTGCGTGTATCTGTTCTGTGACCCTCTACTGCTCATGCTCATGCTGCATCTCCAATCACTGCATGCAGGAAGCTGTTGTACTCCTATCCATGCCTTATTATCACATGGACAACACATTAAGCACTTCCACTCTTTAGATTACCAGTTTGCCTCACCTCTTCTACTCTGCACTGAAGCCATGGGAAAGCAAAACAGAAGAAAGAGCAAGAGAAGTTAGAAATATCCACAAACACACAAATGGGCTAAAGAAATCAGATACCGGGTTTACTGCTGGCATTTCAGATATCAAGAATTTACAAGTCATTTTGGACTTGTGAAGGACATTAACATCAAGTCTTCATGTGGCTTTAGTTAATACACACTGCTAATGCTTTTCTAAAACTCTAGGGGCAAACTTCCAAGGAACTTACAGAAAAAATTTTGAGATGACAGACATTTTCTCCTATTTAAACCTCCTTTGTGATCCAGGTTTTGGGTAAAGATTTTATACTGTTGAAAAAGAGTCTACAGAACAAATTGTAAAATTAACTGATAGTCATTGTTGTATCAATCAGTGAAGTTTGTTTTATAACAAATAATTATAGTCTATAATCACTAAGCACAGCGCTTTACACAGATTTTTTTATTCCCTAGGAGAGAGGTATGCTGCTCTGAGAAACTGGTACCAGCTACTTACTCAATTACAACTAATTGATTAAGTAAGTTTGTCATGCTCTAGTTTGTGGAAGGTGGACTACTTACTTATTTGATTTAAAGTTTCTTGGGGAATCCAACTCATATCAACATCATTCTGATTTGATGTTCCCATCTCTACTTTCTGTACTGGTCTTTTCCTCTGAAAATTCAAGAAAGAAGAAAGATTTTTTTCTTTCCACAAAGTGTTGGTAGCACAAGTATTAGAAATAACACATAATGCTGTATTTAGTCAGTTGCAATTATTTCACTAAGACACAAACTTAAGGCTAGTCAATGTACGAAGCTGTCTTTGTAGCTTAGCTTTAATTATCTTTACCATTAGCAATTTATTCACCTAAGCTTGGCATGACCCCTTTTAAGGACTTGCAATACTATCTGCACATAGATACCGAGATTTCATGCATGCCTGGGGAAGTTCATTATAGTTGTTACAAAAAATGGTTGATGATTAATCAAACTTTGTGATGACCAGTTTCATTATACTTTCTCATATTAGAACAATATTCTCATGTGTCACCTTGCAAAATAGACTTCAAGGCACAGTAATGACTCCATACTTCTTCCCAAGGGAAACTTCAAAAGTATCATAAACCAGACTGCAAAAAGACATAACCTATGCACTGAATGCAGATGAGACTTAACCTTTCAATGGCTTTTACTTGCCAGACCACTTACACAGACAAACCCTTAGCTGTTATAATGTAAACGGAATCCAGGAGGCCCTAATCAACATTATGGCAAAGCATAAATAAGAACTCAATAAAAGAGTACACCGGGGAAAACAGCTAAGTTTGACCTAGATTAAACTAATAGATAGAAATAGAGAGCATGGGAAAAGTCTAGCCAGTAAGTATTAAATCAATAGCTGCACACAGCCAGTGGCTCGACAGTATCAAAAGTTCAGTTCAACCACTTCAGTGTGATGCCAAAGAGCAGACACAAAGAGCATCAGATAAGCAATCTAAACATCTCCAATTATGAACATATTTTAAAAACTCTCTGGTTTTCCCAGTCATCTCTAAGGTCATAGTTCTAAATGTAAAGCTTCTGAAGTTCTACCTGTACCATCATATGCCAGAAGCAATTACTGAATTGCTTTCTTTTTGTATCAGTCAGGTCTCGTATTACCAATTACATGGACAAAATACACTACCCACCTTCCTAGATTCTAGTAACTGATGCAGGCCAACAATGACAAGTAGACCAAGTCCAGCGAGGAACATGTACATGAAGATCCTTTTAAAAAAAACAGTTTAAGAAACCATTAACTAAAAATCTTAAGTGTTGAAGAGAGACACAGAAACTGAGCCTAGCTTTGGCCACATACTCACTTGATCTTTCCCAAGAACTTTTGTATGGGGTGGGTGGGAGAAAAGAAAATCCGAAACTGAAGTGCTAACAGATATTAAGTAATTATTCTGACTTTGATTTCAGGAACTGTAATCCTAAATTTACCTCTGAATAACAGAACATCTGAAAAATGCTGAATAAACTGGGAAACTGTTATAAACAGTCTGAAATCTAGTAACTGCTCAGAACTCTTTTGCAGTATCATGTCTCAAGCCGTTGGGTCAAAGGTAGTATTTGTGACAGCTTTAACTACTTAAGAAAGCCTTAAAAATCTTTTATATGCTTTTAGTACACTCCTGCAAATCAGCTACTGCTAATATACCAATTTATTCGCAACAGAGCTTTAAAAGGCCTTGATTATTTGGCTCTGTGTTCCACGGAATTCTACCTATGCAATCATTTTTAAGTCTGTGCATTTTGGTTTGTTTTGAGTAATTTTACCCAAAATACACACTGACACTCTGCAAGAGTTGAACATAAATTCTGTTTTCCAGGCTTAAGCTCTCTAAGCCAAAGCAGATGTGTAAACTGCTCACTGATATAGTACCAATTCTGAAGATCCCTAGTACTTACCCAGTACTTAATTTGGGGGAAAATGTTTGTGCTTTCAGACCATCAGCATTGTACAAGTAAACTGCCTGGTACACCGCCACCAAAACACAGCAGATTTAACATTCAATAAAATCAGGATACAAGAACTATTCTCACTGGCACCATCAATAACCTGTTCTATCAGTGTATTAAATAAACTTGAACCTCTAGCCTCCTTACGTTTCTCCATCCAGCCCATCTTCTTTTTCAATTATTGTAACAGTTTGATTGAAGACAGCATCTTGAAACACATTGCCCTATAAAAAAGTTTCCACATAACATTTTAAATTCATTTCTTGAACACATACACAAATGTTTATCCTTTTCCCTGTTCTTGGAAGTAGTAACTGCTGCACAAGACTTAAGTTTATAAGCAGTGCAAGTCTGACTCAACACATAGAAGTGCAAAGTTTTTGGTGCAAGCACAAAGAACAGTCTTGGTATTAGCAAGAAAGTCACACCTAGCCTCCAACATGTCTATTTCCTATAATGTAAGATGTTCCGTGTGAAGGGCTCTTACTAGAGTGATCAAAACACAAAGGTATAGAAGCCTGTTAAACTTTGACCTGCAATAAAAAAGAATCCCCTATTTTAATCCCCATTTATGCTTTTGGATAGTCTTCCCCTAGGTTGCAGCTACTGGTCTTCTATTTGCTCAAAGTCAAGTTTGCAGATGGGATTCAGGGTGGTAGCATACAGAACTAATATACAGAACCGAGCGTACATGGGTGGTTGTTGTGAAATACGTAGACAGTCGCTTACTGCGCTTGCATATCTACCGATCTGCTTAAAAACCACAAGGCACTCTCTTTCTGAAGAGCTAGTAACTTGACTAAGCAGTTCCTTCCTGCCATTTCCACATCAACTAGAAAGATTAAAATGAGTTACAACATCAGGCTTACATTTACATCTCTGTAGTTGAGATTGATAACTAGTCCAAAAGGACGACCACCCATAGGCTCAGCAGGGATGAAAGAGTACTCAAATGTAGCTTGTCTCTGTGGTGGGACTACGGTATTCAGAGGGAGAGCTGTGAAGTTCTGGATATAAAACTGGTAGTCTTGAGGGTACCGGAAAGAAGCATCGAGAGATTCAACAATGAAATCCTCTGCACCCTTATTGGTGAAGCCCACCAGAAACTTTACAATGTTGTTTGCTGGGAAGTCTAAAACACAAAAGATATTCAACTGTTAGAAACTTCATACACCAGAACTGTTGCTAAACAGTGTCTAGAACAAAGGCTTTTTTTTTCCCCCTAGTTTTATGTGGATTTTTATTTTTATGCATAGATTGATGCAGTCTAAGCAACAGTGAAGAAGATGGTAGATTGGCACAGGACTCTTACCTTCACCTTTCACAAATAAGATGGTTGTATCAGCATTAGGCGAGGCTTTAGGTTCTCCTGACAAGTCTTCTTCCTCTTTTTCTTCTGTCTAAGACAAGAGACTTTTTTGAAAAAATCCTATAATGAACAGTGAAGCAAAGACCATGCTTGTTTCATGAGAATCCCATGTGTCAAAGCATGCAACAATGGCAAGCATTAGTATCAACTCCTGCTGTTGCTGGACTAGCAGTCTTTTCTCCCTCTAGACTCAATTAGCATAATTTTCAGCATTTACCCTTCTACTTGTTGTATTTGACACAGTGACTAATCAGAAGGGCATTTAGCTGTATCAAAATATTTACAGTCAAGAAAGAAACAGTAACATCTGTTTGGGGTAGAAGGAAAAGAATAGAATCTAAATGTTCAAGCTGAAGCAAGCGACCGTTAACAGCAGTACAGCCACTGGTAGAACAGGCATACTCTGCAACAAGTGTCAGAGGCTAGGAATGTAGTAAGTGAAAATGGGCTGCAAAACCAGGTTTTCAGAATTAATACTGAGGTTAACTAATAAGTAAGATTCTGTTGCTCCTTGAAAATCAGTATGAAATAGGCCAGAATGAAGTAGTCCTATTCTCAGCTTAAGCTGGAAAACATACACCTTAAGCTGGAAAACAACTACAAGGGACTCCTATGAAAACCTGGTTCTCTCACTTAGTGTTCTTTTGTGTGGACTGCAGCTTTGGTAGTCAGAAATTGGGCTTTCCCCATGTGGTAATTCAAGAAGAAAAGATAAATCCTTCTGAAACTTGAAACTGAACATGAGTTTAATTGGAGACTTGGAAACAGCTGTGTGGAAATAACATTGTTATTTCATTCATATTTAAATATATCTAAAATATCTAGCTTCAAGCACTTTTAGTCTAATTCAGACTAATGAAGTAGCATTCATGTACAATTACCAAGTCTGTTGGCTCATCTTCTTCAACTTCAGCTTCATCATCTTCATCTTCAACTACAGTATCTTCCACAGCTTCCTCATCTTCTGTGGCATCTTGAGCTGCAACTAATAAACCAGAACCTACCACAACAAAATGCAAATACAAGAAAGCCATATCAATGTCTAGTTAATCAACAGAAAACTCACATCATAGCACATTTTCAAACTAATTTTTTGAAGAATTTCTTAAAAATGTGTCCAATACAGCATTTTGAAGCCTCAGTTTCAAAAGCCTCACATTTAAATGATTGCCTGTGTGAATCTTTCAGCCTTTTCCCTTCTCTAACAACTTTATGAACTACCTATTTATGCGCCAGTAAATTCAAAACCAAAAAGTTTACAGTCAGATGACAAAAACTTCGGCATTCACACAGCAATGCTTAAATTCACAGAAGGCAAATGACTTGCCTTAAAAGCTATTAACTTTTGAACACATCAATGTATGAAAATATGTTGTTGTGTCAGTGTGAAAAAGGCACTGCTATTGCCACAAAATTAATTTAATAAGTACTGTTTCTTTGAAGACTAGTAAGCTTAATAAATAATTAGCTTGTCCTTTCCATCTGTTAGTATCAGAAAACTACACTTCCACGGGTTCTTAGAGAGTTATTATTTTTGCACTTACTTTCATTGAAGTTTTAAAACATTAAAAAAGTCTTTTTTTTTTTTTTAATATGATCTCCTCAATATCATTTGCTACGATACTCACATGTTCAACAGAACCACAACACTAGTCAGAAAAGAAACCTGATCTAGAGCATGGCTCCAGAACACAGCTCCAAGACAAGTGCAATCTCGCAGTTCATTGCCTCTTTGCTTTTATGGAGCAGAGTCTCTCACACTCGAATACTGGGCGGCTATGATTAATACAAATATTGGCCACAGGACAAAGTTCCCTGTCTGCAGTTTAGAGCACATGCAGGCTAGGCTGAAAACTTTTAAAACATATATAAAACACTACACGTTTTTGTTTTAATAAACCTAACGCTTTTCAAAAGTGAAAGAGTAGAAATTAACATATGTTTGATTTACACAAGCCTGAAATCGATTTAATTACCATGAGTACACATTTAAAATAAATATTTAGTAACTTTCACAAGGAATAAGAATCCTTGAGCAGGACACGTATATACAAGGACTTCAGGATTATCAGCAAGAGCTAGAAAAAGCAAATACAATCTCTGCTCTCAAGTATCTTTAGAAGCTACAACTCAGACTTTTGCTCAACCACGTGCAATACTTAACCTATGACTACCTACTGTAATTTTATTTGATCACGTTTTAAACTTGATAGTCTACAAATGAAGATTTTTACAGACTTTTTTTTTTTTTAAACCTTTGTATCTCAACAGGGTACAGGCAAGTTACAGACATTCGTCAGAAGAAACTGCGCTAACACATTCTCTTAACCCCCTAATTTACAGTCTTTCAATGGATGTCAGAAGGGCTGATGATGTGGCAATAGCGGGAAAGGAGAGCTGCCCGTGGTGGGAAGGAACTAACGCAAAAGGGTGGGTGTGCTGCAGCCCACTAGAAGCGCAGGGCGAGATGGTTGCGCTGCCGCCTCCAGATTTAGTAGCAGAGAGGCGATTTTCAGGCCGTGAATCAGATAACGCGACAGCGTAAACAGAGATTAGTGCTCGTCCGTTTGAAGGACGCTCGGGGGGCGAAGGGAGGCGAGGTGGGCAGGCAGGCTGGCGGCCCGCGCATCTGCTACGCGTTCACCGCAGAGAGCAGCACCGCCTG